AAACAAAATTTTGAAGTTTTTTTTTTTTAATTATTGTTAAGTTACAGTTTTATTTTGAGGCTTAAGACTTTATACAGGGTATTAATATTTTACTAAATAATACTGCGTCAAATGTTTTATCTATTAATGAGATACAGGGTAATTTTTTGTTATTATTTAACATATTGACAATAAATTTAGTAAGGGTAGGTGATAAATCATAAGATTGGACAAATAGGGTAATACGTTCTAATGGATGAAGAAAATTATCCTTATTTGTAATTTTTTTTCTTTTTTTTCTTTTTTTTTACTTTTTAATTTTTTTCAATCTCTGATATGGTACACCCTACCCTGTAAATTTAAACAAAAAATTAAATTTGTTTTAATAGAATACATTCAACACATTTCAAGAAATTGGCATTTAAAATCTCATGGACATAAGTAGTAACTATTTAAATTACTGGATAGTATTTCAACATAGTAGGCTGTACAATCTGCGAAAAAATAATTTTCCCGATTCAAAAATTATTTTTTATCTTAAAAATGAAAGAAGATAATGTTTGCCTATTGCCAAAAATTTAATAGTTTCATATTTATTCATTAGAGGGTACTTGGGGCCATGTTTGTCTAATCTTAAAATTGATAATAAAATTGTTGAAAATTGTAAATTTATTATCGGGAAATCTCAAATCAAAATCCGAAAATAAGTAGCTGAAAATAATTTGAAAATTCAAAAACGAATCTCAAAAATCCCCCTACGAATTATTAAGACCATCTCCGAAGCCCAAAGGTGAAAACAAATACGTGGAGATTTGAAAAAAATTTGTCGTCGCCGGGATCGAACCTCGACATCAATGCTTTCTAGAGGCGTACCCTTTCCTCTAGACCAGCGTTACTCAAAGTGTGGTCCGCGGAGCCCTGGGGCTCCGCAAAGCCTTTGTGGGGTCTCCGCGAAGAAAATAATACTCAACAAAAAAAAGCAGTACCTATTTTTTAGAATTCAGTAAGAGGAAGGAGTATACGATTGTTGTATTTTGGTATGAGGACCTTTAGAGGCCAGAGGAAGGAGGATATGATTTTGAGAATTTTGTAGTAGTGGCTCCGCAAAGAAACGGGAGGGACCTGGCAAGAGGCTAGGACAAGGAGGCTTTTTTTTGTTCGAAAAGTGTTTAGGGCTCCGTCAAATATTTTGCTTTTCAAAAAGGTTCAGTCACCAAAAAAGTTTGAGAATCACTGCTCTAGACCATCAACGACAATGACTGTCGAGATTTTTAGACATAAATTTGATGTACTAGTTTTGGCCAAACGGCGTTCAGGTTCTCAAAACTACAAATACCTCTAATACAGCATTGGTGTATATAAAAAATGCATTTTATGCATACTCACGCAGATGAAGATATGGGCTTACTATGCATAAAATGCATTTTTCATATACATCGATGCTGTATTAGAGGAATTTGTAGATTTGAGAACGAACCTGAACGCCGTCTGGCCAGAACTAGCACATTAAATATATAGCCAGGAATCTCGACAGTTACTGTCGTTGATGGTCTAGTGTAAAGGGCACGTGTCTACAAAACATGGATGTCCGGGTTCGATCCCCGGCGACAACAGTTTTTTTTTATTCAAATCTTCAAGTATTTGTTTTCATCTTTGGGGTTCGGGGATGGTCTTAATAATTCGTAGGGGGGTTTTGAGATTTGTTTCCGAATTTTGAAATTATTTTCAATAAAATTATTTTTCATCACTCAAAAAACATAACCCTACTAAAGTTCAATCCAATACATTAAATAATAAAATGTTACAAAAAAGTGAAAAAATAAATTTTAACTTTTACACTTTATCTCTGTAATAGATCATTGAGATAGAATGAAGAAGAGATGCTAAAGTGTCCGCACCTTTGCATTACATTTTTACGTCAATGTCAAACTCGTGATAGTGGAGCTAGTCAGTTTTGGTGAGAATAAATGCCATTCTTTTTAAATGACTTTAAATAAATCAAAGTACGACTCAAGTCGTCATTTTCATTACACTTTTCCGTCACTTGAAGTGCGTCCATCTGTCATATTATAAAATAGTGTTTATCTCGATGGTAGCAGACAAACATTAAACAGTGTTATTTTGCAAAATGATAATATTTTTGAGTTCTTAACTTATGATTAATGTTATTTAAAATTAGATATGGCCTCAGTACAATTTAGAAGGTATTTCGATAATTTTGCAAATGTCTCTTTTCCTACGTCTATAATAATTGACTAATGAGTGTGACGGTTTCAAAATTACTTAAAAGATGGTCAAAACTTATTGAAAAATATAGAAATGATGAATTAGCAGAAACCATAATTTTCATAAAAAAATAAATAACAGCAAAAACACAAAACACCGAAAAAAAAAACGGATTCGGTGATTTTCAAAACATTTCGGTCGCACAATTGAATACATGCTCTATCAAGGGTGTAACCGTCAAAAAACAAATTTTACGGCAGTAAAACTTTTCAGAACAACAAAACTCTTAAGGCAACTTTTGTAAGCTAAAATGATCCTTAATAATATGAATTTTAAGGCAGATTAGAGTAATGATCGCACTTTATTGTTGTCTTAAATACTGTTTTACATCCTTGTTCAGGGTAAATATTCAATTATTGTATGTCTTATGTCGTATGGTTCATGATGCAGCATGTATGTGCAAATGGTATTTTTAAGGTATGTTGTAAAATGACAAAAGGAGGGATATCTGATTATCTGTCCCGCGTTTAACATATTTACCAGAATAAGTGCATACAGTCTGGAATCCACTGGGAAATATAAAACATATGAGGTAAATGGTCCCACATTAAATATGAGATAAGACCACATGATAATATGCCTAATCTTCAACAGACTCTTTCAGATCGACTGCAACTGGAGCGAGTAAATCAGGAGATAGAGAAATATTTGCTTATGGGTCTCATAGGGATCTAAAAGAACCAAAGGAACTGGCTCTGGCATACATGGAGTTAAACCCAAACGCAACATTCTAAGAAGTTCGTACAAAAAATTAACTGTCTTAATTAACTCAGACAGCCAAGCAGTCTTAAATAATTAACTGTCTTAATTATCTCAGACAGCCAAGCAGTCTTAATGACCCTTAGTTCAAACATAAGTCAAAGCTGAACTGGAACTAACGTAGGTAAAGGTGTCCAAGGAAATGAAAAGGTCGATGAGATTGCCAAAGAAGGATCAGAACTACCATTCACAGGACCCGAACCTGAGTTTGAGGTAAGCAAAATCTCTGCTCAACAGACTGTGAACAGGTGGGTTACCATTAAACACCAAACTGGCAGTCGACAGATAAGAGGTGAAATATCCATCATAGTGGAATTACTAACGGGACACTGCTTGCTGAAACTTATTCAAGTGATGGTATTGTACAATGATCCCACCACGAGTAATATCTATAAATGCAAATCTTGTCGGTAGCACATCATTTTCGATCACGAACTGGAACACTTGGTCGGGAACTTAGTAAAGGTTACCAAATACGCAGGAATATTCAAACTATGTACCTGAATACAGAGGAAGCAAGTGAATGCAATACAAGTAAGAGGAGTGTTTTGGGCTAAACCGACAAATACTAATATTGAACGCATGTAAGGTTATAAAGCCAAAGATAAACTACTCTTTGGAGTAATTCAAGATATTTTGCAATGTGGCAAGTAATTTTTTAAAATATATACATTTCAGAACATCTGTGTAACCATGTAAAGAATGCGTTAAGATAATAACGAATGTTCACGATACACTAAGGATTTATTCGAATTTTATTCACTTTTCTTAATTTTACTAATGTGTTCTGGGTATCTTCGGACGTGGCGATCATAATGGTGGGTGGGGTTTTCTTCACCTGTAAGTTAAATGGCACCATCAATCATCTTTAAGTCGCCCCGGAGCGCCACGGCAAGTACTCTTAATAGCCGCCCTTCCCTGGACAAGCTTAGCTTTTGGGTTAAAATTCATCAGTAAGTGGGTGAATTAGAGAGAGTATTATTATTATTATTATTATAAATTATCCATCTGTCATCATCACTATTATTGGATATACAGAAAAAATAAATAAAAGTTTTTTTGGATAAGACTGAACTTTGTTAAAATGCCATCAAAAACCATATTTTACACCCTTATACCGTTTTTGAGTAATTAAACCTCGGAATATTTAAGTTCAGGTAAAATAAATACTACTTATCAAACAGAATAGTCATTTTCATAGTTTACTTTAATAATGTTAATTTTTGCCTATTTACATGGCTTAACTAAGATATTTGACGTTTAATTACCGAAAAACGATACAAGATATATGGCATATCTTTGAAATTAGGAAAAAAGAGCATTAGAAAAATTTGAGAATATACAGGGTACTCCATTAAAAAAATATATATATTTTGGTAGATCCCATGAAATCTGTACGCCACTATGTTTAACAAAATTCAGTCACAGCTCCAAAACTTTTATTTCATTTTTTTGGGATATGCAACAATAACTAATAAAGGAGATGTAATTCATAAAAATAAACCAGGTATATGGCCACTAATAGATTCAAATTGGCCCTTGCTTTATTCAAATAGTACTGCAGCACTGGGATTCTTATGTGCGAACTCGATACGATACGTATCGAATAGAGAGAGACATTACATAAGAACGAACGAAGATAGGCATCTTGATACGTGACTTATCGAAAAATGAAAATCTCACTTCTGATCTATTAGATACTCCTGTAGGCCATTGTATTAATTTTTGAACTTATTTTGAAATTAATAATGATGTTTTGTAAGACTTTAAATGAAACGATTCACTTATTCAGTTACAATTTATAATGAGTTGACGACAATTATTGACACATATAGATTACTTGAAAAATAATTCGAATATTAAATTTAATAAAATTGTGTTTGATTGTCACCTTTTTAGTTTTAAATATATTTAACAATAATACTAATTCATTTTGTTAAAAAATAAATTATGAACCATTACCATTTGAAAATCAGGTACGAGCACGGAAGTGGAAAGCACATCGACTATCCAAAATTCACCTGTTCCTGCCCAAACCCAGCGTTTAACGCGTCACACATTAACTGTTCCAGACAGCGGTGGATCCAAATTGACCATCAACACTGCTTTTGGTAGCCAACTTATCGAAGTTCCCGAAGAAAACCGTAAACCGAGGCCTAGACGGGTTCTGTCGAGTATAGCCTCGAGTTGCGATGAACACCAGAGAAGTCAGGTAATGTTTTGCCCACTACAATCAAAATAAACCCGTCTTTTTTTCCTGAAATTTATAAGGATACATTCGTTCATCGACATTGCACTCACCAAAAAATTGTGTGAAAAATATTGTTATTTAAAAAACCTGACTATATATACATAAGTGCATGCATGCAAATCTCCAAATCGCCAGACCACTATCTTCTAGTGAGTTCCACACTAGAAGGCAGATAAAAACTACTATTTATAATATGATTATTAGTAATTGGAGTTCTAAAACAAAAATGTTCTAATTCAGCGTCTCTAAAACAAAACCAAAAGTCCAACCCAGCCCGAATAACTTGGTCAATAGCTTCTATTTCTTTCCTCCATTTTTCTTCTTATACTATATCGAAACGTTATGTAACTGTACAGGTCCATCAACATCTTGATTTTTTAAATCGAAAAATGTATTATACACACACCCTAATAATTATCTATAAAAATTGTATTTTGATTAAAAAATTGATAAGTGCAGTAATCACACGATCGTATCTCGTACTACACTTTTTATGTAGAACCGATCAATTCTACATAAAGGAAATTCTGTTTATTTTCCTCTTATTAAAGACCCTAAAATTGGAATATTGAATATACTTCTTACATATTGACTATATTTCTTACGTATTAAATATATTTGTTACATATTGAAAATTTAATACTAATCCTACTGTGTAGATTTGAAAACATGGCACTCTCCATAATAAAGCATACATTCATCTTCTACTCTGCAATGTATGCGTCATTTTTCAAATTTCGATATTTTTCCAGTATTCTTCTAGCTGGGTTTTTCCTCACTTCTTGAGGTTCGATCGTCATGAAATTGAATTTGAAATTTTTTATCATATGCAATTTCAAGCTGTATTTTCTGTTTCCATCTTTTTCAAATTGAATACAAAAAATTCTAGATTATTACCAGTTTTATGATATTTTACTGAGTTGTATCTAAATCTAAATAGAAACACCAACATTTTTGTGACGATCTTCTTGGAAATATCGACCATTAATAAAAAAAGTTTTCTATCAAATGATGTGGCCAGACAGTAATATATCAGATATGTGCGTAGTTACAGTAACCGCCCAACTTATTATTATTATTATTATTATCATCATCATCATCACTATGTTTCGTTTCTAGGGCATGCTAAATAGGATAAGAGAATCTAAATCTTTAGATCCTCTTCCTTTCTTCAAGGGCAATAAACCTTCAGAATTAATGGAGAGGTTCTTAAACGGGGAGCGTAAATCTACTAGATCATTAGAAAGCTGCGAAAAATGCGGCGAAATACAGATCATCGCATTGCCCGAAGACAAAATGACGAATAACAATTTTCCGAATGGTAATCTATTCCCCCAGGAGAACGTGCATCATTACATGGAAGATGTACAGGCGCCATTGCTGAATGCAGTACAACAAAATATAGCGAGTATCAGAAGAAGGGGAGGTAGTGCTGTGGATGATTTACCTGAAAGCGAATTTTCTAAAAAGTAAGTGTATATAGGTTATTTAAAACAAAGCAGTCATATTTCTTTTAATAAATATTATAAATGTAGGACATGAGCAGTAAATATCTGTATATGTAAGATTGGGATGATGTGTTGTTTCCACAGTACTTAGACCTCACTAGACCAATTATACATCCTTCTAAATCGGTGAGGTATCTCGTAGCTCGTCAGCCTATAATTTAATGTAATTGATGATGTCGCCAAAACATGCCTCTCTTATATTGGCATTAGGTTTCATAATAGATGAGAGCCGGCAATCATGTTGTTCGCACTATATGCAGAGTTCGGAGTGTGACTGCCCCATAGGTTCAGGTGTGTTCGTAGTGGACAGTGACCAGTCAGAATGCCTGTAATCAGGCGCAAATTAGGTCTAGTCGCAGTCAAGAATTTGTTTGCTGTTGTGTTGTCAGATTAGCTTAACAGCTTCCTAGCAGCTCCGCAACTTCTTGTTTCCTCCCTTTCCTTAAATTTTACAGGTTGGTGTTAATAATAATAATAATAAAAGCACTTTATTGGTTATGAATATTACAACGAAATGGCCATTGACCTAGGTCCTTCAGCCAGAACAATTTGTATGGTATGTATGAGGATTTACAAGCTAAATGTGTAAGATGAATACGAATATAAAGATACTTAAAAAAAAAATAATATGTGTCACTAATTATTGTTCATCGGCAAATTCGTTTAAGAATTCTGTTATTGATCTCACTGGGTATTTAAACTTTGCTTGACCAATTCGTCGTTGCATCGAAAAAATGTTTATTAGCATGTGATTGTTTCGTTTCTTCGAGAAATTTTTTGACAGTTTTCTAATTCTTTCCAGGATAGGCTGAATCTTAGTTTTTTCGTAAATATATTCATTCGCTGGATGGTGAGTGGGGTTTTCAGGATGTCGCATCTTGGTAATTATTCTTAGTGTAGAAGTTTCGGCCACTTGAGTGTTTTTTAATTCTTTCCAGGATTGGCTGAATCTTAGTTTTTTTCGTAAATATATTCATTCGCTGGAGGTGAGTGGGGTTTTCAGGATGTCACATCTTGTTAATTATTCTTAGTGTAGAAGTTTCGGCCACTTGAATGTTTTTTAATGCAGGTTTTCGGCAGTTTAAATATATAGTGTGACCGTATTCCAGGAGAGGTCGGCAAATTGTTTTGTAGATTTTAGAGGCCGTGTAGATGTTGATACCTTCTTTTTTTTATGTTAAAGAGCGGAAATGTTTGGCTCTAGTTTTGATTTTATTTTTTTGTCTGCGGGTGTGGTCATTGAAGTTCAGCTTATTATCAATAATAAGGCCTAGGTATTTCACTGAGGATACGGGATAGATTGGTTGGTTAGATATGATGAGTGTAGGTGATGTCGGTCTTAGATCATGATAGGGTATCATTAATTGACATTTTTGTGGCTTAACTTGTAATCTCCATTTATTGAGCCATTGAGCAACTTCGTTATATTGATTTTGTAGTGCTGTGATGGTTTGATTCAGCGTATTTCCTTGCGATATCAAGGCCGTGTCATCTGCGTATTGGAGTGTGTAATTTAAGTTAGTGTTATTTAATTTGGTTTGACATTTTATTAGTCCAATGGAAGGATCAGGTGCAAAGATTATTTGTTTGACATACTTCTGGGACCTTAAGGTAATCATTTAATTAGAAATTAGTGATTTGCCGCTTTGAAAAGTCCACGGACCAATCTGAAAAGTTGAGTAGTCCAAACACACTTTTCAAAACTAGAAACATGTATTGTGCATGCGCGAAATTAAAGTAACTAAGTTGTTTGAATTTCTTGCAAACATAAGCAAAATATGGTTTAAAAAAGAGGAAACGACAAAATGATGACTTGATTTTTATGTATTTCAACGATGTTTTCGAATTTTCATCTCATAAATACACACATGTAAAAATGACCAAAAAATCCAAAGGTTAGAAGTATTTTACAAATGATTTTCGAAAAAAAAAAAAAACGAAAATACAGATGCATTTATGGCTCCCAAAGTGTTTTTGAAAAAACATCCAGGATGGAGAGGAGTGTCTTCTATGCCCAAGGTCAACTAATTTTCATTGTGACTTTTTATTATTTTTCACTACTTTTCCGGACATGTCCGCTGGACTAGTCCAAAAATTACTTTTCATGAAAATTCCTATCACTATTAGAAATAGAGAGCTAAATTGGTACCATAAACAATGGTATACATTGTGTAGTTCGAGTCTAAGACACAAAACATTTCCAAAATATATTGATATGGAAATTTCTAGAGGTCAAAGTGATCGTGTCAGAAATAAATATTGGGGTGGATAGATAGATTTCCTTTATATCTTTAAGCCACGAAAGGTGAAAGCAGATAGCGCGTACGTTATTTAGCGAGAACCGCTGGATAATTATCTTTTTAGCGCAACAGTCACGAAGCTAGAACAACATAGCATTTTTCTGCTTCGGATATTGATAGGGTTGCCAGATTTACGAAAGGGAAAAGCGGGACAACGCAACAAATCAAGTCCTTTGTAAAATTTCTAAAAAAAAAAAAACAAAAAAAACAAAAAAAAGGGTCTCTCAGCTTGTATTTTTCGTAAACTTTGGTCCTTCCAGCGAGCTTCTAAAAAAAGGTCCTTAACTTATATTTTTGTAAACCAGGTCGTCCTCTTTCTGACGAGCTTCTAAAAAAAAGTGGCATTTGCGTAAAAACGTAAAAAAGCGTGGCATTTGCGTAAAAAAGCGTGGCATTTAGGTCAAAAGCGGGACATTTTCGTGCTTCGGCGTAACGCATGTAAGCAAGTGAAAAAGCTTGGCATTTACGCCTAAAGCGGGACGTCTAGCAAACCTAGATATTGACATAGAGGTTTGTCACTAAGACTGCCAGTAGCTTAATAGTTTCTTGAAAAGTATAACTCCTATATTCCTGTAAAACTAATGATATAAGAGGAACAGCTTCGGAAATGGTTTGCAATGCTCCTCTTTCATAAAGTAGTTGCAGTTCTGTTTTTAGACGACTTTTTTCTAGAAATGGATATACTTTAACTGTATCAGAGAGCAATTTGTCAGGAGAGTTTTTTTGGCATTAGATAAAATGTTATTTCATTAATAATGCGGTAGCTATCAACTATCCTGTAAAAGTAAACCAAGCTCTAATTTGTTGTTTAATGGAATCACAAACTTCCAAGGCTGATAGAGTCGGTATTAATCGCCGGCAGTTGCTTAAAAAATATTTCTACATGTGGCATGATTTTGTCAAAAACTGTTAACCAGAATATGAAATCTCCGTTCTCTAATCTTAGTGTATATGCACCGGCTTGCTCAATCGTAGAATTCAATTTAATATTTTTATCGTTCTCTAAAATATCCATTCGTGTATTCAGCTCATTTCGGTACTCATAAATTGTATTAACGCCCCGTTATTGATAGTTCCATCTCGTTTGTAATTATTGTGGTAATCGTCTATGAGCCATGTCATCCAATACTTTTGCTCTTTGAGATGATGTAGTAAATAAAAAAATAACAAATTTCTTATGAGAGAAAAAATCCGAACAGATGCATAATTTTCAAAAGAATATTTATTTTTAATTATGGTTTGTATTCCATTTACACCTCCGCTCATAACTTTGTCCGATTAACTTATTTAATGTGTCACTAATTCAAGGATCAATTTCATTTAAATTTGCTATTGCTATTTGCATCGTGTCCGGAAGGATTTAATACTTTCCAAAATCTTTCTACTGGCTTAATGGGGGCAATGTATCATAGAATAATGACATATTGTTTGTATGTCCCTTGCTGTTTTCATGTGTTTTAATTTTCTCATAAATATGTAATAAATCAGTAATACGATGCGTCTTCCACGTAGAATCACCTCCAAACAAAACACACGCAAAACAAAAAATGCATTTTTTATCAGATCCACAAATCCAGTTATTTTTTAAATACAATATATTTCGATTAAACTTCTTTATACGGCTCTTGAAGCTTGACGAACTATAGGTGAAAGCCTTTTGCGTTTTTTTAATTTCTAAATTTGGAGGAAGAGGTCGTCCAAGTTCTTTGATTTGAATTTTGACCTCGAGCGGGTGCATAGAAAAAGGTTCCATTAACAGATTTTTTCATTTCATTAATTTTGCCACGGACGATTTTTAAACAGTAACTATATTTATATTATTATATAAAAGCTAATAATACATTCAACTTATCTAAACCGGCCCTCCGATGCATTTACGCACAACGCCAACATGTTCAAAAAAACTAATCCGAGCCACTCGGTCAGGTGGCCCTGTTTAAACTTATTAAACACGTACTTTCTGCATATGTGACGTGACCGTTTTCAATATAGTGCTGTGATAGCGGCCAGGCCGTGGCTCGAACGGAATATAGTCAGTCGCTTTAAGGGCGTGCAATGGAACAGAGAAGTCTGAACAAGTCCTCCCAGAGTGAGACAAAATAAAGTTATCCGGGAGGTGCTGCCTCTAGTTAGCAACTAAGTAACAAATATACGTTCAGCATTTTCGCATCTGCGAATAAAAATGTATTCTTCTAAACTCACAGGTACGGGCTTTTGTATGGTATAGATTAAAATTTTTTTGACTTTGCCTCCCACTTCGGTGTCACAAGCTGAATTTTTCAGGGATGAAAGTACATGATAAGCTTACCCTTATTCCGGAGGTAATACAAAATTAGACAGTGCAAAAGGGCACTATCATAAAAAATCGAGTTATTGATACCATCATATAGAAAAAAAATGCTTATTTTTTTTTTCTAATGCACAATTAGTTCTTTGTAGGAAGTGTTTTTTTATAATTATTTTAAAAAATTCATTTGCATTAGCCCTTATGGTCGAAAAAAAATTTAAACGTCAATATCTCGGTTTCAACCGTCCACAAATTTGTATAAAAAATCTTTTTTTAAAAATATACCTCTCATTTGACGAAAAACGAAGGCCTAAATGAGAAAAAACTATTCTTCGTAAAAGTTTCGCCTATGTATTAACAAGGTAACAGTGCTT